GCTCATTCAGTCTAGGATACAAGTAGGACTTTATTTTGGTTTGTAATGTAGGCTGCGGGACGGGTGGATACATTTAGATATAAGAGTGACTACACCCTCCCTAGAACTTTAATACATATACTTTAACTTCAAAACCCCACACTTATGTCAAACCAATGACTCCACCTTCACATCAATATACATCAACTCCCAAATTATTTAAGCACAATTACATCAAGAGTCACCACTATCAAAGAATATTTTTTCACAGCAATACAACTATTTTTTTTTCTTTTCTTTTCTTTGTCAATTAAAGTGGCTCTTGCTCTTTCAAATCAGTGCACCTTTCTCCTTATTTCATTGGTTCCACTCAAAAGCAAACCAACCACCCACACTTTAACTTTTTACAAAGTTCATAACAATTCAAGTGCTCGTGAGAGGTGAAAAGGTTCAAATATATGGTCAATTCAAATATTGGGTAAGGCTTGTAATGTGGTTGCCAAAGAAACAGGATTATAGGCTCAAAGGGGTTAACTACGATACATAATAATTAGGCAAGTAAAATATACATATCTGGCTCAACAAAGAAATGCCTATATCACTTCCTAGACTGAATAAAAATTATTATTTCGCTTTGCAAAACACACGGGGCAATTCTAGGCATCAAATGCAATGCACAGAATAACAACAAACCTCACACGCACATGGCACATGACTCACTCAGGATTGGTTTCATCAAGACACTCAAGTCAGAGCAGTTAAGCAAAGTTAAGATCATAAAATTTAAGGTACTATTACAAGAGTCAACAACTGAGCCTAAGCGTTACAACAAAGTACTCACTATTCTCAAGGCATAACCAAGTCAAGAGATATTGCTTCAATTCAAAACACAACACAATGGCTCCTACTCCCAAAAAAAAACTAACTACCCCGGTTCAAATAAAACCCTTGAAAAAAGAACCGTGGTTTAAGAAAAACCAAGGGTAATTGCTACACTACCTAACAAAAGAAAATCTTTTTTTTTTTCTTTAGACTTAAATCCCTCAAGAAAATTGTCTAATAGATCCATCGTCGGGAAATATCCAATCTATTTTTTTTCATTTTCTAAAAATAATTATTCAATTAAACTAACACAACTAAAATAGCATAGAAAGTAACCCAGGCAATCTCCTCACCCCACACTTAAAATTGTGCATTGTCCCGATGCAACCATTACTAATAAGAGGGTAAAAGAAACTCCCTGGTAGGCCAAAGGCCGAAGCACTAGCAGTTCATGGGGTACTCAGACTTCTCCCAAGCTTGGTTTCTTCGTGCGGGTACCTCACACTTAGTTCCAACTATTTGGTTTGTTGTTGCATCCTTCCATTACCTTTGCTTTCTATGCTCCTAGAAAATAAAAATTGACACTACAAAAATAATACAATTAAAAAAATAAAAAATAAATAAAAGAAAGCAATAAAGCTGGGTTGCCTCCCCACAAGCGCTTGATTTAACGTCGCGGCACGACGTGAATCACTTTATGCCTCCACTTTGAACTTATGAATCGAACCCAAGTTTTGATCTGCTCTATGATCTGCACTTCTTGGCCTTTATATGAGGTGTGTAATCCCGACTTTCTGGCAAGAAGAATTCCAGAATGTAAGCACTTTGTTCCTCATTCCTTGACTCCTCAAATGGCTCGGGCGACTCTATTTCCATATCATCATCTAAACACAATGTGGAAAAATGCTTGGAATGAGGACCCATGCGCTCAACTACATGAACATTGGGACTGTCTACATTCTCAACACTAATGACAATAGAGTCAACTAAATATGTATCCTCAATATCCTTGGTTGACTCTAGTATCTCTTCTACAACATCGACATCCTCAAAATCTAGTGTGATTGATTGTTGGTGTTCTACTCTAGCCTCCTCCTCTAGCTCATCAATTTCTGTATCTAATTCACGCTCTTCTTGGATACTATTCACAATATTGGCTTGTTGAGCATTAAAAATTTCAACCAGTTGACTCATGTGACCTTTCAAGTTGTGAATAGTTTCCTCCTGCCTTTCTATCCGCAATAGTAATTTACTCTGTTGTTCCAAAATGCACTTTAACATATCTTCGATCTTCTTTAGGTCAGCTTCCCTGGGTTCTTTGTTCCTATTAACTTCACCAGAAAAAGAAGAACCATCAAAGTAAAGGGTTGGGGGAAGGTAAGAAATATAAGCACAACCGTGAAAGTGACCATCTTGACCACCACACATATCACACACATTCCACACATAAGATTGAGTTGGTGAAATAAACTCGCTCTCGGGAATATTTTGATAATTTTGCCCTGGGTGGTTTCCTTCACAATATGCATAAGGAGGATTAAAAGTAGAATTACCAACATCAAAATTCTCATAATTCCATGTTGCCATGTTTCTCAAATAAACAAATAAAACTATTAAAAAAATTAAATAATAAAATAAAAGTTCAAACTTGAAACCTAGCAATATGTACACCTACAACTACATCGTTAGTTCCCCGGCAACGACGCCAAATTTGATCACGCCCAACTATGCCTTATAAAAAAGGACTAAGCGGTCGTTGCAAATATAATCCGGTTTACAAGTCCGGAGTCGAATCCCACAGAGAACTAAGGCTTAGCTACAGTTGTTCAATATTGCTAAGAAGACAAGCTCGAAAAATTCCTATGTTATAAGTATTAAGATTCTTGTGATAACTAACTAACAAACAAATAGAAATAATAAATTAACACTAAAGATACTACAAGTTGGAGAAAAGATTAAGGAGGTCTAGAGTTATGATTTCTCCAATTGTCGGAATCCTTCCCGCTATGTCTTCTATAATTTCGCCTAAGTATTCTCTACCGATCATGAGCGCTCTGCGTGTTGTAATTCTCTCCCGAGTAATTACGACAATTTACTAGACATACTCTCCCGAGTTACGCTAGCTGGCTTTGTTTATTACAGCTCACTTTAGATTGCACCCAAGGCTTCGTTATCCCTAATCCTGCCTTTAAACCCACAGTTATAGATCCCTCTTATACTTTGGGAGTGATGTTGTTCAACAACTACCTAAATATGCACTCTCTCCCGAGTAATACATACTAAATAGGCACAGCTAATTAAGAGCTCTTCAACCAACCACAATATAAACGTAGTTGAACAAATAGAGAAAAGCTACGGCTCAATTATATAAAAACATAACAAGAATTTATCCTACAAAAGGTTCTATCAAAACTCTAGATAACAAATTAGTTATTCATAATAGTATGTAAAACTACAATACTAAAAGTCATAACCAACAATGAAAAATAGGAAGAGGAAGGAAAAACTCGTAGAAGAATTCCCCGCCTTGCTTCTATTGTGTCTCTGCCTCCTTAGGTACAATCTGTGTCAAAAGTATGTCCAACCTCTCAAAATAGCATTTTTACATGTATTTATACCAAGTAGGGTCGGGCCCAGATGAAAAAAACCCATTCCTGCGCGAACTAGGACTTAGCTCTGTAAAAATTGAACAGCCGCGCCGCAGGCTGCGCCGCACCATGCGGCGCGGTAGTGCATTTTATCTGCAGCTTCATATTTTCGAGTCAGGCACAATTTTACACTGCTCGCCGCGCCTTGCAGTGCCCCATGCGGCGCGACAGTGTAATTTTCTCAGAGTGAACTTATTTCGTCCTCTTTTAACATCCGGACTTGGTACACGACCTGCGAACACGATCCCGACTTAATGTATTGAGCTTTTACTCAGACTTCAAAGCTCCAAATTGATCATTTAGCTCCAAATTAACTTTTAAGCTCAAGATCACTTCCTGCAAGAACACGTACTAAGTGCAATTCACTATTATTTGAACTCAAACGCACGTAAAAATGCAGTCATTGGAATGTAATACTACGACTAAAACACGGGTTTCTAGCCTAACATCAATAATATTCTGTGGTTTTATGGTGAAATAGGAGGAGAAGGCGAGTGTTTATGGAGAAAGCTGAATGTAGGGCGTTTATGGAGAAAGCTTAGCGCATTTACGAAGGTTGACTGATTACAAGTCTAGCACAGAGGTATTTTCGTCCAATTGGATAAATATTAACTAATTAAGGGCTGAATATTAAATATATTTTAAACAGTAATTTAAGAGTAAATACAGTAATAAGGCTAACTGTGCACTCACCCCCTCCCCCCACCCCCGTGAATTGCAAATCCGACTGTAAAGCAATTGGGCTGGTGAATTTTGAATTTGAAAAAGCTAGCCCATTCTATATAAGGCCGGTACTTCCGTTTTTCGCAGAGTTAAAAATAAAATATATAAGCAAAAATTGAAAAAATGGGTACTCTTTGAAATTTATAACTTGTACTCTTGTAGGATGTATACGTTACCTTTTCAATATCGATCCCACTTGTGACTTGTGAGAATATACTGGTATATTGCTATTATTGTTGTTGGTGTGATACGATAAATTGTAAAATCTTAAGAAATTTATTTTGTATCTTACATATCATATCATACTGTTGTAATATACTAAACTCTAATGTGATATTTTCTTTATCAAACTAGATAATAAATTCTCCACTTATTTTAATATTTTCTTGGATTATTTTAACAAAAAAATATAACTCAAACATTTTCCGTATTGTATTCCGTGTGAACCAATCCGAGATGGAGAGAGTATTTAGATTTTCAAGTAATGATCAAGTCCTATAAATAGAAAATTGTATTTTTTTTGTTTAAATTTAGATAACATATCTCGCTTATCGAGAGTCAAACTGTAAAGAGATTACTCGATCTATTTTAGTATATCTCGTGATATATATCAACAATGAGATATCCATTGCAAGTGCATATCCACTTTTGCACAACAGGGTTATAAAAATCCACGAAAAGCTATCATACTGACATAAGAAAAATTATATTACTTCTGGTATAGTTATTAAATATCTAAATTTTAATTTTAAAATACCGAATTAAATTAATTTGATTTATGTTCAAAATTTAGTCAAAATGACTCTCCGTAATAAAATGTGTCGTCTAAATTGAAACAATTTAGTATTGATTAGCAAAGAGGGGCTATTTAATCTCTCGAGTTAAAGCGCCAAATCCATTTGAAAACAGCAGACGCTGACAATGGAAAATCGCTACGTTTCAAGGAAATGAGGTTCAAAGCAGCTACCACCAATGGCTATGTTAGCGAAGCCTATGAAAATCTACTCCACAGACTCAACAGCTATCATATTGACTACTCATTGTACGGTCATCTCTTACAACTATGCAAAGAACATTGCCTTATTCGCCAAGGCAAGCAGCTACATGCTCGCCTTGTTCTCTCCTCAACTATTCCCAACAATTTCCTTGCATCAAAGCTCATCAATTTTTATGCGAAAACCAAACACCTCAAAGAAGCCCACCATGTGTTCGACCAAATACCCATGAAAAATACATTTTCTTGGAATGCCCTTCTCATTGGTTACTCTTCCGAGAATCACAAAAACTCAGAAACTCTGAAGTTGTTTTCTTCTTTTTTGTCTCAGAATTTTGGTTGTGCTGACGTGAGACCTGATAATTTCACAATGACATGCGTGTTAAAAGCTCTTTCCGGGCTGTTAGTGGATTCTGTTTTGGCTAAGATAGTTCATTGCTACGTTGTTAAAAATGGGTTTGATTCGGATGTGTTTGTATTGAACGGTTTGATCACTTCTTACTCGAAGTCAGGTGATATGGTATCAGCGAGAAGCGTGTTTGATGAAATTCCTGAAAGGGATGTGGTTTCATGGAATTCTATGATATCAGGTTATTCACAATGTGGATTTTACGAGGAATGCAAAGGTTTATATAGAGAAATGTTGCATTTAGAAGGTTTTAGACCCGATGGGATCACGGTGGTGAGTGTTTTACAAGCTTGTGCACAGTCAAATGATCTTATTTTGGGAATGGAAGTTCATCGATATGTTATAGAAAACAAGATTGAAGTTGACATTTTAGTTTTTAACTCGATTATTGCACTGTATTCGAAATGTGGTAGCTTGGATTACGCCAGAGAGCTTTTCGAGGAGATGGGTGAAAAGGATGAGATAACTTATGGTGCAATAATTTCAGGCTACATGAATTATGGATTTGTTGATAAAGCTATCAGTCTTTTTCAAGAAATGGAGATACCATGTTTGAGTACTTGGAATGCTGTTGTATCAGGTCTAGTTCAGAATAATCTGTACGAACGAGCTTTAGAGTTAGTTCGCAAAATGCAGTTATCACGTGTTCAGCCTAATGCCGTGACCCTCTCAAGTATTCTTCCAGCAATTTCTGATCTATCATTTGCAAAAGGAGGGAAAGAAGTCCATGCATTTGCGATTAAGAGTGACTGTAATCAAAATATATTTGTTGCAACCGGAGTTATTGATACCTATGCAAAACTGGGTTTTATCCAATCAGCACAGCAAGTTTTTAATCAAACAAAAGATCGGAGTGTGATTATTTGGACAGCAATTATCTCGGCATATGCTAACCATGGAGATGCCAAGGCAGCAATTGATCTATTTAACGTGATGCTGAGTCATCGCATAAAGCCAGATTCCGTCACATTTACTGCTGTATTGGCAGCTTGTGCCCATTCAGGACTGATTGAAGACGCTTGGAGAATTTTTGAGTTGTTAGAGAAGTATGGAAGTCAGCCTTTGGATGAACATTATGCTTGCATGGTGGGGGTTCTAAGTCGAGCAGGAAAGCTATCTGAAGCAGTTGATTTCATCAAAAAGATGCCAATCGAACCCAGTGCAAGGGTGTGGGGTGCACTACTTAATGGAGCTTCAGTTTATGGTGACGTTGAAGTTGGGAGATTTGCATGTAGTCATTTATTTGAAATAGAGCCTGAAAATACTGGAAACTATACCATCATGGCAAATTTATATTCAAAAGCTGGGAGGTGGGAAGAAGCTCAAGATCTTAGGATGAACATGAAAATTTTTGGATTGAAGAAGATCGCTGGTAGTAGTTGGATGGAAACATGTCGAGGCCTAAAAAGCTTTGTAGCAACAGATGAATCAAATGAAAATGGTGGAGAAGTTTATGGGATATTGGAAAAAATGCTTGGTTCGATGAGGGATGAAGGTTATGTGATGATGAATGAATTTACCGAGGAAACCATGTGACAAAAATGCTGGTATGAGTAAGACGTTGCACTGAAGTAGTAATTTTATGGGTTTCACGCAAAAGATTACAGGGTTGCCATCAACTCTGAGTATCATTAGTCAGAAGTATTGGGTTCATTGTTATTCTGTGAGGAACAGGAAGTTGTTTACAGCATTAATGGTCTCGAATATTGCTTGCGCGAAGCCATTCTGCTGGAACTGAAGATGCAACATTTCAGGCGATAGGACTGCTCCTGAAAGAATTGATATATGGTGTAAATAGTAAGTGACAAGACATGTACGAAGCAGAAATTGAAGCCAAAGGGTAACTTTATGCAAGCACATATATGCTCCTCTGGGGACAATATTTGTCGTTCAGTTTATGAAATACTTCGGGCAGAGGATCATCAGTTTACCACAGTCCTTTTTGGAGGTATAGCTCCAATCTTTTGTTATATTGGCAACAATTATTGTACTAAATCTAAACATTGTCAATGAGTAGTAACAATCTTCTATGATGGGCTTTGACACTTAAATCGTGCACATAAATGTCTGCTGAAGGTTTCTTTTGTATCGGAAGTATAACAGACAGAAACCAGTGTAAGTAATATGAACTCCAATTTTTGTTAGAGTTTCCATTTCCAAGTAGTATGCGATCCTACAACTGTTACGTTAATAGGGGACATTTTTGAAGCAGGAGCTTCATCTACTCTTTTCCGTGAGACTAGTCCATGATTTCTTTAGTATGATCACAAGTAATGTTAGCTCACAATTAATAGAAAATTTGTTATGATGCATGTTCAATGTCCTTCCTTTTTTTCTTTGAGGACCGGGGGAGGTTGTTACAACCTATGTTATGGCTTTTTGTCATGTTCAAGATATTATCAGTATGCTCATTTATTTAATTCACTGATCTTGGATAGTTTAAAGTACACAAGTTGCTTGACCTTGGTTTATACTACTCGAGTAGGGGTAGGTCTAAGAAGTATTGTGGTGAGCTGATTAGGCAGGACATACAATTACTCCAACTTACCGAGAACATTACCTCGGTAGGAAAGTGTGGAGATCGAGAATTAGGGTTGAAGGATGACACGCAGTCGCTAGTGTCCCTTAGTCTTACGAGTAGTACTAGTATTATTTTTGTATTTCTCTCCCTGGTTCTTTATTATTACATGTTATGCTATTTGCTTCTATTGCATTGTTGCTACTATTGTTTGTTACTTTATGTTCACTGTTCCTTGAACCTAGGGTCTATCGGAAACAGCCCCTCTATCTTAATAAGGTAAGGGTAAGGTCTGCGTACACATTACCCTCCCCAGACCCCACCTGTGGGATTACACTGAGTTTTTTGTTGTTGTTGTTGTTGTTATGTGAAACTTGATTATCCTTCAGAATCTTACATAGGGAAATTCTTCATTGCAGTTGCTGCGGCCATGCCCATCCCAACAATTTTAATCATTCATCCAATTGGCTGATGCTTTAGGTTGGATGCACCCGATGTTCGCAATCCCAAGCTTTTGTCTTCTTTCAACCTACCAAGTATACAGATCTCAATACTTAGTTTTTGATGCAGAGAATGTCACAAGTTGTATTTACCATAGTTTATTACAACATTGTGCACAAACCCCAAAAGGCAGCTGTGAGATGTGAAAAGGGAAGAATGTAACTATGGTAAGTGACAAGAGCCCTTGATAAGTGCAGGCTACAGTGGGGGAACAACTTACACCAAAACTAAATTATTACTTATGACTTTGTTTGTAGGGCCAAAAGGTGTACATATTTTCCATCAATGGGCCAAATTGATATTTTTGCTCTTCTGCTTGTTCTTTTTCACCATGTTGTTAAACAGAGATAATGAAAAGAAAGGAATTATTGTAGTTGTTTAAACTGGACACATGCTTCTGGACAAAGGCCAATATTCCCAGCCATTCCCTTCCATTCTACTCTACCTAATTCATCTCCCTAGGCTTTTCTCTGTCTCCCATACATTCACTTAATAATGCATCTTTTATTTCTAACCAATTTTTTAGCTTTTTGTCCTTCTGTCACATAATATCACTGGAACTATCTAGTCCTTTACATATGAACATGCCATTTACAATGTCATTTATTTTCACTGAGAGCCTAAATAGAGCGAAATGAATATAGATGTTTATATAGCTGAACTCGACTAGTTTTTAATTGTGACATAATTGGTTGATCGATATTGCATTTTGCCCGGGAAATTGACGGTCAAAAGGTATAGAAATTTACAAGTACTACTTTCCCCACCAAGGGTAGCCTTGGAACTAACGGTCAAGATGTCTTCATGTATAGGTCATGGATTTGAGCCATGAAATCAGCAACTGATACTTGCATCAGGGTAGGCTGCCTATATCACTCCACCTTGGGGTGCGAACCTTCCCTGGCCATGTGTAAACACGGGATGCTTTGTGCATCATGCTGCTTTTTTTTTTTTTTTTTTTTACTTTCCCTGCCTAAAAGCCAAAAAAGCGAAGTTTCGCCGCTCGACAAAATATTTATATTCGCTAGTCAATATACACATATTATACCTACTTATACATATATTATACAGCTAGCTATTTTGTTAAAGGCAGGTATACAGTGTAAAAATTCCGGAAAAAAAAAAAGATTATAAAACTAGTACTACTTGGGATCTTCAATTGATTGTTGTGTAGCTCACAGGCAGTGTTACTCTATTATAGTCTAAAGTGATTATTGCACCACTATGGATTCCTAACCCCTCTTTTTCTTTTGCTTTCACTTTTTCCTTTTGTATAGAACTCTTTTGATTTCCCTTTCTATTGCTTTAATTTTCTAAGGAAAAAGTTTACAAGCATCATAGAACAACTTTTGTTACTTGACCCTGGAATTCCCATCATTGCAAGATTTGTGAAACATTGAGTCTTCAGTTTTTCTGAAAATAATTAGATTTTAAAGAACTGCATAAGCAGTATTATTAAGCGCGAAAAAATAGTTGGTAACTAATTTTGGGTTCTTTTGGGGTATTTTTCGCAATATGATGATAATATATCAATTAATTATAATTTCAAACTAGCTAGAATCGTTTATATATTTGTTTATTTATTCTAGTGAATTCAAAAGAATTATCATAATTATATTATTTTTATAATATTTTGCAAAATTCAGGTATATTGAGTGCCTCATTGTTGCATTCTTTTAAACTATGGATTAAAGGAATGAATGTTATTAATGGAACAACAAATGGGTTACACGTTCTACTTAGACCTGCCTTTTGGGTAGGATATATATATATATATATATATATATATATATATATATATATATATATATATATATAAAATAAATAGCTATAATAATAATCTAGAATAAACTAACAAAGTAAAAATTGATAAAGTCTGATCCTTCAAGTTATAATCTTCTTCTTATATAATAT